GACAACCACCCCAGACAATTAACCCTGCAACAATCACCATCTAATAGTAATGAGACTAATAATAAAACGCTGCTTATTAAGCGCTTACCAACAAAGTCTCTGATAACTATCATTAGTCAGGTCAAGATATAGTTTAACCCCCCCCCCCCAAATTGCAACAAAAGGTTTTTCAACTCAAGTTTTCTTACTCAAGTACATCCTCATCAAAATGAAGGTACGTTAAGATCTGCATGTGTATTCGCTATAAGATGACATGAACAACACGAGGTTTTAACATTTTAAATCGTATGGTGGGTGGGTAGTATGAATGTGTGTCTAGATATTATTATTAAGTTATTACTTTGTCTTTGTCACTCCCCCACCCTCAGTGTTAACAATGAACTGTCAATAGTTGAATTGAACCTTTTTCTGGGGGGGGGGGGGGTCGTTGATACCATAAGGGTGAGAGAGTTCATTTCCTGTTTATAAAGTGCGCCCTCTATTGAGAAATCATAAGGGTTTTGTGGCAATTTGGACGCCATATTTGATTTCATGGTTTCCTGAACCACTGTTTAACGTTCTAACTTATCCTAATGCATTATATGACCCCAAAAACCATAGCATAGACACCCCATGGATGGATAATAAGTGACTTATGGCCATTTTTATGTTATGGCGGCCATTTTGGACGCCATCTTGGATTTTGGGGTTTCCTAGACCATCAAAAACGATTCTTACTCGCCTCAATTGATTCTCTGACCCCCGAAACCATGGGATAGACACCAAGATTATGTCTCTAGGACGGATAATAAGTGATTTATGGCCATTTTTAGGTATCAGACGAAAGACGAAAGACTTCATGCATGGCTGATTGTCAACGCAACGGAGTTAAGTCTGTTGTCAATTCTGCTTGTTTCTACGGCAGGCAGCCAGTAAAAACGAATTCGTTTGATAAAATTATGGAAATGAAAGGACTGCTTTAAGCAAACAGAACTTTGTCATTCCTTGCTCATTTTTCCTGATTGGGGTGTCATATGAATGGGCAGAAACTCAACTTTCTAGAAATGTGATTTTCTCTTTGAAATTCAGATACCGTCCGCCAAATGAATTTTGGTTTCCTCTCTTCAAATTCATTTTAATCACTAATGCGTGAAATATTCATCATATGAGTTGCATTAAATGCAAGAGGAGGAACTAAGCTTTCCAAATGTGTGTCATTATTAAATATAATTGAGACTAAGTTATGATAAAACATCGATAATTCTCGGTTTCGTTTTTTCTGGGACACACTGTATAACAAAAATACTGAGGAAGATTATATAATCCGTCTTTTTTCCCCTTTAGGGATCCAGTTAAACCTTCCAGACTTTAGAAAGTTGACAGTGAGATGTTGAATTTATTAAAATGATTTGTTTTCATGTTTTTTCTCTCCATAGGTAAGGGATCGAAGTTTCACCATTTTGGACCCTGAAATGGATAGCTATCCGAATGCCCCCATAATCGAAATAGGACAGGAATTAGAGGAATAAAAGGTTCATACCATATGTGTCATGTGCAGAGGAGAACCATAATTTGTATGTGTGCAGCCAGTGCATGTGACTTTCATCAAGATTGTGTCAATTTCTTATCATTTTCATGCTTCCTTAGCAATGAAACAGGGATACTGACAAGTTCACCTTCGACATTCTCAACATAAATTGTAATCCATGCACAGTGAACAAAATACAGTGGAGTCATATCCCATTTTTCGTTGTGTATTTAATACGAAGTATAGACACTACATGCAAAAACATATAATACAATGTACATGTATATGTTCTCTTTGGGTTTTCATGGTGAGCGAGTATTAACAAAAAAAAAGGTTTTCGGCAACACCATGTGGTAGCCTGATTGAAAAGGCCGTTGATATTCTTTCATAAAAAATGCCCTGCTCATTGAATTGAATTCAATTCAATGTATTTGTTCATCCAATGTACGTTCAACGAGGATATTTGTGTCGCTCACAGAAAAATAAAAGTCTCAGAGATGGTTTACACTGAGCAGCAATAAGATACAAAAGGTGGGTATATTTTAGTGATGACAAAGTGATAATTATACAGAATACTGATTTTCGTATGGTTATGGCTTATTTCGTATATATTTTAGAGGTCTTCATGCATATTTATATACACGTAGAAACTTCAGCTTTTAAACTAAATTGAAGTATATCTGAACAAATCTGATAAAGGAGAAGCGTGAAGATAAAGATACTGAATTACATGGGCAAATGATGACCGTGTTAATGGGCCGTTTAGAGGAATACAGAATATTAAAGGAATAGGAAAAACGGAAAGAGATGACAAGAATGAACATTATATCAAATTAAATATAAATAAATTAATTATATATACTGTTACACACACGGTACTAGTTTTTTTGTCGTTTTTCGGTAATTATACACCAATGATGAGGTAAAATGAAAATTAAGATATAAAGGAAAAGGGTAAAGAAGAATTGACCGTGACATGTACGAGGTCATCCAGGGGTCTTTTGACGAGTCAGACATATTGGGGCTTTGAATTGTTCAAGCCAAGCGTTCGCATTATACTACTATAGCCATACATATTCGATGCTTGCTAGTTTTGTAGTGTCGTCCTTTTTGGGGGAAATGGAAAAATGGGGGGGGGGAGGGGGCGGGGCTCCAAGCCTTATGTCTCTAAACATGACAGAATTCTACGTTTGTTTAGTATGCACTTAAGGAAATGGTAAACTTGATGTATGAATCATTAATGTAGTAGGCAGCTGTTTCCATTTGCGTGTGGGAGTACGTGTGTGCGTTGTATATGTGAGAGAAAGAGAGAGAGAGATGCATGGGAAGGAAGAGAAAGAGGGAGAGAGATTTGCATAATGATAATCATCACAGATTCAAATTTAAATAATCATATTTAAGATTTGCTTTTGTTTTTCTTGTTTTTATGATATCTAAGCTAATATACACATTTGGAAACTCCTAAATAATTTTGGACATTCCACACCTCCCACTCCCTTTCCGTCCCCCTCCCCCCCCCCCTCTCTTTCTCTCTCTATATATCTCTTTATCCGCTTCTCTATTTATGTATATTTCTCTAACCATCCCCTTCTCTCTCTCTCTCTCTCTCTCTATTTCTCTCTTGTATTTTTTACTAATACCAAGGCCTTTACATTATTCAGCATCTCTGAACATTTAGTTTTAATTATCCTGGCAAAGACATGATAGCTCATTTGACACCTATAGCATTGAGCCGGGACCTTAAGATTTACATACATATGTACACAGTTTATACCTTCAAAAATCAGGCATAACGATTTCAAGACCCGGACGAGATATTATTTGTTTCAAACTCCGTTTTCATACGTTACATTTCTGTACATAAGAGAAATGCTCATGAGATGTGTAACTTGTGGTATTTTGATGTGAATGTATACACATATTCCTTACTTTTTATTTCACTATACATGCATGCATACACATGTTTAGGAGTTACAATTTCCATTACACAAGTTAGTAGCAGCTTGGCAATCTTGTTGGTGGTCGTAGGGATTATTAATCGATTTGTAAAATACCAGACTGTTCATAATTCTTTAAATTCTGAAGAAAAAAAGAAATGAAATAGAAGTAAATTGGGAGAGGCAAAAAGAGAGCTAAGACAAATTAAAAGTTCAAACAAACGGGAAAGATTTACGCATTTGATACTTGTAGATGCATAAAAGGGAAAGTGTTTAATGAGAGGTACAAAATAAAGATGTTTGTAGGAACTTTACAAGCGATATAAATGTAGAGACAATGAATTAAAGAATAATACTGTGAGAAATTATGTTCTCAAATCTAAAGAACTAAAAATATGAATGACATCAAATATCCTGCTTCTAACCACTACTATTATTTGCAAAATAATTCTCTACACGATTTGATAATTTCATACGTATCTTACGAAATATATATATATATATATATATATATATATATATATATATAAGAACTGTTTATAGGTATATACATCTTACAGCGTCATTAGACGGGCATATAGTGACAAAAATGAGTCATTAAAGGTAATACAACGTTTGGGGAAATTTTGAAAATTGGGTGGATAGTAAATCTTTACAATTTTTCTATATTTGGATGCCCCTGTGGATGTATTATAAGCACTAAAAGAATTAACCCCTAAAACACTTCTGTTTTCGAGAAGAATTGAATATAAAAATTTACCGGTGCTCCCGGTAAATTTTAATAAATTTCAAATAGCGCATACGGCCGTACGATTGTAGCTGCGACCATGAAAATCTCAGAATATGTAGTTGTGATGTATAATTTCTAATCGCTAATATAATAGCTAATCGGTCGATATTAGTCAAGAAACATTGTTTCATAGCTAAATTGATATCTTGACCTTGAGAGGGAGCTATACAACATAAAGAGTTTATTATTTATAATTTCATAACTTTAGACTCGATTTCAACCGGGACAACGATCAATGAATATTGTAGGAACGCATATGCTTCCAATATGTTAATTTGAACCAAATTCATGACCCCATACCAAAACTTTGTAATACCTTTAAATTAGACATGGTCATTGGCAGGACATTTGCATGTCCTGTTAACCATTGAACAAGAGGGTTAATCATTAGTCATAAGTCCAATTAGTTATGTTGTTTTGAATTTAGGGTTAGGGTTAGGGTGTGAGATGTTCATGATTACATAGTTCATGGACGAAATTAATTGAAAACATATGAAATTATACATCTTATTTTGTCCATGAAGTATAAATAAATGAGTGAACTAGATATAACACAATAATTTGTCGGTGATAATTGAATCACAAACAGCACAAAGCTGCTGGAAAATACAGATTATCCGTTGAATTGAACAGATCTTGATGTAACTAAATTATCTGTATTATCTTTATTGACCCCTATCATAAAACTTTACCAAGAAGTCAAAAACAAATATAGATTTATATAAACAAACATTGGAAACCATCACACTATTGCCATTTAAAGTTGTATCGTTGTAAAAAATCAGAGTCTTTATTATCAGGCATAATCTCTGGAATTCTATGACAAAGCAAAACAAGTTAGTGGGTCATCGTTGTTGTTGTTGTTGTTGTTGTTGTTGTTTTTTTGGGGGGAGTCCTTTTTTATTAAAAAAAAAAAGAAAATCGGTTCTGAGTGATTTTATCGGCATAATACAAGACCAACAAATTGTTGTTGATATCAATATCAAGAATAACAAATCATAAGTTATCAAGTATTCAATACAATCTTCCCCTGTCCCAATCGTGGGAGACGAATCCCTTCCGCGAGAATTTTACCCATGTCATCTTGTTGTAAGGCGATATAAAACTGAACTCTTGGGTTGTCACCCCCTTCTCCTTCTTTTTGTTGACCCACCTTACATTCTTGTTATTTGATATTACAGTTTTGAAATTGAATAAAGAAGAATCTGAGAATATCTATACAATGCTTTTAACAAAAATCATTAATGTATCATAATGATTATTAAACTATATGGGTAGTAAACCGGCTGGGTGTAGACCATATGGGAATAGACCAATTGGGAAGTAGACGAACTGGTTGTAGACGAAACGGCTATAAACCAGAATGCCTCGCCTAAATGCTGATTGAGTTGGGAACTTGTTTGGGATGGAGATAAGTGTATGGAGTTAAACCAGAATGCCTCGCCTAAATGCTGATTGAGTTGGGAACTTGTTCGGGATGCAGATAAGTATATGGAGTCTCTCTTGTTCTGTTCATTCTAAATGCTGATTGAGTTGGGAACTTGTTTGGGATGGAGATAAGTATATGGAGTCTCTCTTGTTCTGTTCCTCTCATCAATAATATCTCCTGCTCTCTCCAAGTCTTTTCGGAACCTAAAAGTTTAAATAGAAAGGAGATGATTATAAGCTGACTATTACCAAATGTAATGACAGGAAATGGAATAAGAACGTTTTTGTAAAAGGTCATCGATTCGTTTTTAGCAGTTCAACAAACAAAATCTGATGATTTTGTATGCCCTTTGACATACAAAAAATAGAGATCATCTGAAATTTAATATTAGTGAAGGAGACAGTCCTTTTACAATGGAGCGTGCTTTGTGGCTGTGTCAAACCATGTGTTAGAGAGTGCATCCTTTAAAAAAGCGCAATGTAAGGTATGAACGTCTCACAAAGACGGTATTTGTGAGGCGTTCATAATTATGTTCATTGTATCAGTGTACCACCAATTTGTCTAATTTGTTAATAACACATTTAAAAGCACATATAACCGGGGATAGAGGGATTTTTGTTTAGAATTGCTTGTGAAATATTTGAACGGGCCTTAATAATTTTATTGCGCCATGGATCGAAATCCTGAACTGCTACAAGGTCTGGGGGGTGTTTCACAAAGATCCTAAGTTGAATTTATCTCTAAGTTGGACTATTATGGAAAGCCGTTTTCATCATTGAAAATATTTTGTAAAAGTTATTTCATAAGGCATAAAATGTTGGTTTAAATCATTAATATTTTCTATTATCAAGGAGATTTCATGTTCTTGATGTGGAATTTATGAAAAGTCTAAAATACTTCAGTTTTTGCTTTTGGAATATTTAATTTTAAGCCTACAAATGGCTCTCCATAATTTTTAAGTCCAACTTAGAGTTAAGTTCGACTTAGGATCTTTCTGAAACACCCCCCTGGAGTGGATTATACACGAACACTGTGTTTGTGGCAGACGTCGACGTAGTTTACTGTTTGTGACATTTTATTTATTTATTTATTTCTGATATTCATACAGGGTACTCACTGAGCTCTTTGTAATATTTATGATACAGAATCGTGAAGTGTATTGCACTTTCGTCATTACTAAAAACCTCCTTGAATTAGATGAGGCCAACGAGTTTAAGCAAGATTGACAGTTTCTTACTTGTTCAACGCCTCTAGTCCAACAGGATGGTAGATGTACTGTAGTTCGAAGTCACCTAGAGGTTTGGTACCTCGCTCACTTAAAACCTTAGCGACGGTCATCCAGTGAACAATGTCTTGTTTGGTTGGGAGCTGAGAGAACACGTCTTGTTCACTCACGGGTTCCTGAAAAAGAGTCAAATAATTGACGGCAGATTCGTCAATTTACAGAATCATTAAAGTCAGAAGGTATGAAATCGTAAAGTAAGTATGAATTTGATTTCATAGAATTTAAAAACTTACTTAAAGATCGATGAAAAACAGTTTGCGGCGTTACAATATGACATATAGCTGTATATCGCTTCCTATGTTCCACAATATACTGTGAATATAGAATTCTTTCTCTTTTGCCAAATTAACTCGGTCGTGGTAGTAGAGTGTCATTTGTCGCCAAGAATGTCACTATTTAGAGTTGTTATAAGATAGAAAAAGACTAAACAATACAGGCGATAGATTCATTAAGGACTATCTCATCCTAATTAAGTATTCCAATGCAGTTTTCAAGTAAAGAGGAAATTTCACTTTCATAACTAGTATATAAAGAGTCGCCTGACTTATTCAGGACATCCCCTACAACCCCATCCCAAGAGATAACGCCAGTGGTACAACATGCAGTAAAGGCTTGTTCAAATATGGCGCGGTAAAATCACCGCAAAAAGCTGCCGAGTTTTTTTAACATCACAATGAATGGCAGCTGCGCGCAACGAACGACTTTGGGCGTCTCCACTGAGCTCTGTGTCATGAGATCCAGAAATTTAAAGCATGCAATACTTTACGTCACTTTGAGGAAAAAAAAATCACGTTATTTTGCTGCGTCATATCCGAACTAGCCTTTAGAGTCAGACTTTGGTGTTCAACTTACCTTTGACGTGGGAGGATCCCCATGAAGCCAGCCAGGATAACTTGGCGGGAAAGCGTATTGATCATATATTCCGAAGTTAACGGCTGCGTGGGTGACGCTGCAGATGAAGATGAAACCCGTCACGACTTCTGAAACATCTTCCGCTGATCGAAAGTTCCCATCGTTGGGGACGCCCTATTTATTGATTTAATGGGTCATTTTCGTGTTGTTATAAAATGTAAAACTGCGTATGCGTCTTTTTTCAGTGCCTCATCTATTAAATATTTCATTTACCTCTTATGAATAATGGTATTCGAGTAGTCAGAATGAAAATTGATTAGGTCTAGACTACTTGATGGGTAGAGCATGCAAGACATAATGTTTGTCCTACCTACACTATGAATATGACGAACAAAGAAAGAGGACAAAATATACAGTTCCTCATTGTACCCTCAACAATTGCTGTGGTAGACATAGGAACATCCCTTAATTGGTATTATGTAAAAATGTGTAGAACAGGTGTCACATGCATATTCACCTGTTCTACACATTTGTACATAATAGCAGTGAAGGGATGTTCCTTTGTCTACCACAGCAAATGTTGAGGGTAGAATGGGGAACTGTATATTTTGTCCTCTTTCTTTTTCCGTCATGTTCATAGTGCTAGCAACAACTAATGTATACAACTTGCATTCTGACTATAGAGATATAATGATTTATAATAGGCAAATGTAATAACTTGTTGCTAGTTAAACGTTTACAAATTTGAATTCATATTCAAATATATGGTGCATTGAAATATTATGGTATACTATTCATTCTCGATGGTTAGTCTTATGACAAAAGTAAAGTGGAACAGGTCTTTTACTTCTCCTAATAAATAATTAGATTTCATGAGAAACTAGCATGAGGAAAAGCAGCAGTATATATGTCATAATTATTATCACCTCTTTCACATTTATTACACATTTATTTAACTATTCTTTATTCACCGAAGATTATGCGGTATCTTTCAATATTTCTCCAGACTTTGGAAGCAGTTTTCAACGGATTTTAAAGGTAAGTGTTGCCTTGGACTGCAGAAATTTCAAGGAATCGTACCAGGACCCGTCTATAAAGAGTTGATATTAATCGTGCCTTATTTGCGATTGATATCAGTCGCATTCGCAACTATGTACATAAGAGATAGGAGACTGTTAACTTGCGATCGGTTTAAGGATAATACGGGGCCAAGAATCCATCAATATGGAGGCTTTTTAACACAGTCTAGTCAAACAATGAAATGAAACTTGTTCTTACCTTCATTTTAACGGTGATTTCTCCCATCTTTGAGCTCGTACCAGAAAGAAATCTTCCCCATTCTTGAAGCTCATGGTCTCCCTCGATCTTAGCCGGTGAATCTATAGTCATATAAACAAACCCATTCAACCTCTACTTTAAACTGGATAGCCCAAAAGAAAGATTCAATTTGCGATTAGATTTATCATTCCCCTTATGTACCAAGTTTATAAGACACTGAAATTGGGGCATACATTTCCTTTTGGTTTTGGTGTGCCTCTACCATTATTTTAGCATTTAGCATTTTAATACAATTTTCCCAAAAATAATTCTTCACAAAGAATTTGTGTCAGACGGTTTCAGAGTATTTCAGTTGCACTAGAGTTTGAGTTTGGATCGCTTGATCAATATGAATAGATGCGTTTTCATAAACTTGATATTATAATAGTCAGAATGTACAACACATAGATATTTTAAAATGATAACGATCAATATTGAGTTGATTATGGGTTAACAAGGAATGGTGGGCAACGGACAACAGAGAGTGAACCCAATATAATGTATACACTTACTTCCGACTGGCAAAATATCCTAAAAGCCTTAAAAGGTGGCGTTTGTTTCTGTTTCATGTTGTTTTGATCGTATTCAAATCTCACCATAGAAACACTCGATGATTGTCCTCGCATACTCTCGAATGGCATTGTGGATGAGAAGGGCGTCGTCCCGGTAGTGATAATTAGGAAGCACATCCGGGTCATCCACACCCCTATCCTCCAAGTCTTTTAAGAACGAACCTTGCTGGTCAAGACGCCATTCTTTCCAGGTTCGGTTGATGATTTCAGATACTCCTACACTCCCTGTAACCATTAGTGTGTCCGATATGCTACCCTTACCCATGAGGAGGTCTAGACCTTTGCTGTAATAAGAAGAGGAAGGGAGAGAGGGAGATAGATATGGGCTTGAAAATATGTTTCCTTTTTATTGGCTCACATTTATATACAGTGCGTCCCAGAAAAAACAAAACCGAGAATTATCGATGATTTATCATAACCTAATCACAATTATAATTAATAAATGATACATATTTGGAAAGCTTAGATCCTCTTCTTCCATTATTTTGATGCAACTCATATAATGCATATTTCACGCATGAGTGATTGAAATTAATTTAAAGAGAGGACACCAAAAAGTCATTTGGCAGACGGTATCTGAACTTCAAAGAGAAAATCACATTTCTAGAAAGTTGAGTTTCTGCCCTTTCATATGACACCTCAGTCAGGAAAAGTTAACTAGGAATAACAAAGTTCTCTTTGTTTAAAGTAGTGCTTGCATTTCCATAATTTTATTAAACGAATTCGTTTTCACTGGCTGCCTGCCGTAGCAACAAACGGAATTAACAAAAGACCTAACTCCGTTTCGTTCAAAATCAGCCGTAGACGAAAGACTTCATGCCTGGATGATTGTAAAAACGGGTTTTAAAAATGTGTTTAGCTACATCTTACTTGTTGATTGCGATGATGTTGAGAAAGTGAGGAGCCAGAAGACGAAATATAGGATGAGATGGCGACAAACAATGATGCGTTGCTATGGCAGCGGACTCCATTACGACATGCGTCATTCCAAAATGTGACGCTGCCTGATGCACACTCGCGTCGGCGTTGCAGAAATACATTTTTGCAAGAAGCCATGTGTATTCCGGATCAGAAGGGTAGAAAACCTGATATTATAAAAAGCAAGCAATGTTTTAGATTATGTCGTAACCTGTCGAGAGCCAGAAGGATACTAAGTCACTTAGTTTAACGCCGAGTTAACATTTGTGTTTGTTTATAGCTGTCAACAAGCGATAGGTTACATAAAACGGAAGATGGCGATCAGCACAGAAACGATGTTATTTACAAAGGATAAGTTTCAATCTCTGGTTGGTTTCCTGCCACAACTACCAAAACATCACTCCAAACAATTGTTCCACAAAGTATGTTAAGGCAGCAATCCGTGTCCTAAACGAAATTTAAATGTCGCATCTTGATTGGCAAAACATTATTCCTAACGCTAAACCTAACCAAACGAACCAAAAGGGATCATATGAAGCAGAATATCAAGATTTTAATCTATCCTGTTCTAAATTAAAGCAACGCATACATAAATAGCACAGAAGCAGGTTCATGAAGTTATAATACCTCTTCACAAATTATAAGTACAATGTCATTTGTAGTGTCTTTTTTGTTAATGGCTGTCTTTGCGGTTTTTGTTTTTGTCCGTTGTTATTGTTTTTGTTGTTATTGAATAGGTTACCAAACAAAAATTCATGTGGCAAAAGTTATTTCAAAGGACAATCCAACCCTTTGAAATAAATCGGACCAAAAAAAGATGTACGTGAATTAAAATTTGAAATATGAGATCTCTTAAAGGTACTATGTCCCTTTTGCAGCCAACCTTAAATTATGTAGAACTTTGCAGGAATTATGAATATGTCATGTATGTCCTATCTGTTGAATTTAAACGTTAGCAGTGTCCTAATGTTCAAATTATGCAAAGAAACCCGTTTACTTGCTAGACTTCACGGTCAGACACTATTGAGTGACTGACTGGCTTTTTTCTTCTTTGGTAATAACATATATAAAATGAGCTGTAAAAGGTACATGAGCATTTGTCTACATCAATAACCCACTTCTTGTGATGGCAAAAATATAACTGATTGAATCTTTGCGCAGCATAAAACGTATGACCATTCGGTACAATCGTCTGAAAATCAAGACTATTACTTATTGGCTCTATAGCTCCTAAGTCGATTTGACAACTAATAGTTGTTATTTTCCCACTTGAGGACATTTTCGAGTCCCACCTTTTTTAGGGAAGCTCTAAATAAGTTATATCTTTCAAATGCCGTTAGAATTTAACTTTTTCATTTTTGGGGCCTGCAAATGGGACATAGTATCTTTAACCAATGCGATCCTCAACTTGGCAATTTGGTCAGTGGATTAAAACGAAATCTAGGACAATTCTCCCGTTTGTTTCGTACAAAAATATCAGTCCATTCTCTTTTCCCCCCAAGTGCTTTTTCCGGGCTTTACTCAAAATATGTTATGGCCAGTAATGATATACTTTTTCTATAAAAAAAGACCCTCCCGAGTCATAAATTTAGAAAAATTGAAATTTTAGCCATTTATTGTCTTGGGAAAAAATCTTGTCCGCCATTACGTAACAGTGACATTAACAATTTAGCAAATTTGAAATGCCCATAAGTTTAGCGATTACAACTTTTAACAATTCAAAACATTGTTATATTTTATCTGAATTAATTCAAACTTCCACCATTCTGCCTTTCTGATCTTTTTGCATTATAGCATAGTTGCCTATTAAATTTGGATTTTCCCGTTATGCTCTAAAAAATAAATTTAAAAGTGAGTCTTTACTGGATTATCATCTGCTGGATCTGGGAAGAGTTGAATGGCGACTGGAATAAGATATTTCTCGTTGTTCACGAAAAATAAAGCTTTCGGCGCACACATCTGTGGAAATAAAAGTAAGGCAATGCACAGGTTACTTGTACATTGGTTTGCAAAGAAATACATGACAGCTTAATCATCAATTTTTGGCGTTTATCTCAAAAAGTTGACGATGCTATATATTTTGTTTTACCCACTAAAACTGTGTTAACGATGGACTTTACATCGAATTTCATCCCTTGCAATATAATTTTAAACAAAGAAGTAATGAAAGAAATTTGAATAATAGTTGAATGAAGAGAAGAAAACTGAAAGATCAGCTTCCATCAAAGAAATTCAAGCACACCCACTTATTTACTTAATTTAACAACAATAACAATTATATTCAGACAACTTAAGTAAGCAAGGAAACTGACTAACTTTTATCAGCTATCTAGAAAAGTGACGACATAAATATTGTATATTCGAATAATTCTGTTCACTTTCAATACAAGTTAGAAGTCACTATTTCACCTATACATCTTGTGTAAAAAGTTTATGCATATTTTCTATTTTACACAATAATATATTTTTTATTTTTTATTTAAAGTTGTTAAATCAATCCTCTACTTACTTTTGCTCCTTCCTGGCAAGGTAAATCACGTAAGAACTCGAAATTGATGATAAAAAGTCGTTTTCTGTCTATCGTTTCCTCGATAGTCAGACCTTCAAGTATTGGCTTTAGATCGTCTTCACTGACTGCAAAGCTAAACAAAAATCAAGAAATCCGAGAGAATTTTAATTTATATTTATTCTGGTTCCTGTTTCGGTTTATATTATTCTTAAAGATTACAAGAATATCTACATAATAATACTAAACAAGTGGCGTTAAAATCTGTATTTCTCCCCCCCCCCCCCGCCCCTCTCCATCTGACTCTCTCTCTCTCTCTCTCTCTCACATTCTCTCTCTCTCCCTCCATTAATTCCTCGTCTCTTACACGCACACACGAGCGCGCGCACACCCACCCACACACTCTTTCTCTCTCTGTCTCGCTGTCTCTTTCTCCCTCTCCCGTATGTTTTTCTTTTCATGTTATTATTACCCCAAACAAATAAACAATAACAACATAATAATGTTATTATTTACGGAACTAAGAATGGACTTACAAATGAGTTACATTACATTGTTACATCACTGCCGTTTGGTGGAGAAGTGCTTTATATCGATAACATATATCGGTAAAGCGCTGATAGACATCGTCGATGTATCAAGCGCTGAATGAACGCGGATTAGTATTGTTATTATTATTTCCGAACATCTAAATTGACATACCTATTTGGTATTTGGCTGCAAAGTCGGATATGACTCGGGTTGCATCCATTCATTCGGTTATACCCGAACTCTTTGTCACACCTCCAATTGTTAACCGCCTGTATGTTAATGTTTGAAAGGAAGAGAGAAATAGAGAAACGGAGGAGGAAGAGGGAGATATGAAATAAAAGGCGAATAGTTTATGTATCAAAGAAAAAATGGTCAGCGTTGTCAGATAGTTGAAAAGGAATGGTTCACGTTTGATTGCGTATGGGGTCCCGATCCCTGGCAGACCGGTTGATGGATTAATCACTTGTAGTAAGTGACGTAGCTAAGGGGCCTAACTCTTTTAATTCAAATGGCAAAAAAAAATAGATATGAATAAGAAATAGAGGTAAAGAAAGAATAAACGAAAGGGTGAATAATTAATATAATTAACCATCACCTGCAGGAGTCGCAGAACGTTTTTCGAAGTGGTGGGGGTCATCGTGCAAATGATAGAGCGTAATGCCGTGGTATAGCACTTGTCTACTAAACAAAACGTTAGGGCTGTACCTCAAGCCCCCCCCCCCCCTTTTTTTTTTTTTTTTTTTTTTTTTTTTTTTACCGCGATCCTTGCCATGCACCCCTTACGATCGATTCGCTTTGATTTAATTTGATCTGATGTTTTTCCTTCAATTTTTATATCCATCCCGCTGTATATTATTCCCCCAATCTCGTGCACGATCAAATGCTCCTCCTACAACTGGCCCCATGCTACGCCTTACAAAGTTGATCACTGCCAGACTCACCCATGGTTTAGGAAGAATCGGTGGATAATAGAGGTCCTCCACGTCGTCCAAGGATTGAAATCGTTCGGTCGTGAATTCTCGGATTTTTGCTGCGATCCCGACTTTGAGAGCGATGCTTCGAATGTCCCACTTATTTTGTAAGGGAAAACATGGAACAGTGACAGATATATGCAAATCATTACTATCAAACACAAACAAATGATCACTTGCTTATTAGTATCGTTTCTTCATAAGACGAGTTTTTCCTTAATAGTCTGAAACTTTACATCCTCTTCCCATTTATTTTCACCTTAAACAAAGATCCAAACATAGAGGGCGTTAAGTAGAAATAAAAAAAACCTTAGGTCAAGGTACATTAAAATGAAAGAATCAAGGCTTATTTGAGGAGGCAAAAAGGGCCAAGGAGAGTTATAACTTTCGTTGTCATAAGCAGATATCAATGTAGTAATTTCTTTCTTATACAAATAGTTTTTCGATTCATCTGGACAAGGGGGAAACCGGCGGGGATCAGAACCATCAAGTGGCATAATGCAGGGGCGGCGGAGCGTCTTCCAAAATAGGGAGGGCGCACCAACTAAAAAAGGCACTTTCTGGAATAAAAAAAAGGGGCAATTACAAAGGGAAAAACGACAAAATATATTTGTTAGACATCGGTATATGTCCCACATCGTCACTATTGTGATTACACTACCCGGGATGGTATCAATATTTGTCCTATGTAAAAAAAAAAAAACATGGCACAGTGCCCCCCCCCCCCCCCCCCCCCCCCCCCCACCGGGAGTGTCGCCTCTGGCATAACGGGCAAAAATAAGAGAGAAAACCCAAAAAATCATGTCATTTCAGCAACATTTGTAAGTCACTGGTATCGAATAAGAAATAAATCACGTTTGAATTGTATATGGGGGGTCAACTGTCCCCCCCCCCCCACCCCCAACCTATCAGTACGCACATTCTGTCTCCTTTGAAGCTCATGAAATCAGATGACTTTTCATTCGGAATGTTACATACCTTGTAATCTTCAGAGAAAGCCTCGTCACTCGGAAAGTCTTTAATCTAAATGGGATAAGAGAGATGGAACAATTGCATGAGACAGAAGTACATTGAATCAGCGTGTAAACAGGAACGTTCTTCCCTTACTATGCTCAAAACTGATCTACACCAGATTGAAAACAAATCGTTATATTGAACTACATACATGTATAATACAAAACGATCCACTTAGTCTATACAAACCCATTGGTTACAATTGGGCTATTGCCCTCGGCAATAGCACAATTCTAACCTTCCCTTGAGCGTATAAAAACAACTATTTCTCTCAAAGCAGTCATTAATACTTTAATATTTATTAGGCGCCTAATACTGGTGTTTCTAAGCGCACCATTGTCTAATTAAAAAATTACTAACAATAACTTATAATAAACACACAAATTATAAATCTGTTCTTTATTCAATAAATCATGCATAAATAATAACAATAATTAAAATGAGATCAAACATATAATTACGTGACATCTATTAGTTCCAAAGTTTTCCATGAAACCTTACCCTTGGTATTTGAAGGTCTCCAACATAAGCAAGCTGATAAAGTCGCTTCCTGATTTCCAACTCGTCCCTACGCTGAGCGGCTTTCTCATCGTCCTGTGGTAGAACCATGTCGTACTGCTGAAGATGGAAGATTTTATGAGGCAGGATCCATCGATGAACGGGGAAGATGTATTTTTTCTTGGTCCTGAGGTCCACCACGGTGATGATTTCGCAGCACCAGTCATCGAAGAGCCCGGTGGTGTCGCGCCAAATCTCGATGAATTTGAGATCGGCAAGCGATTTGACTCCAGAAGATATCCTAGGGAATATCAATATTATCATAAGGTCATCAAAACTTTGATCGAAACTTAGAGTTACATACTAATTTGATGATATGACATGGCTAGACCATGGGATTGGGTGGGATATCGAAATTGATTCATAGAAAAATTAGCCCATAATCAATGGGTCAATTACGCCATGCGAGGGGGAGGGGGTGCCGATCAGGCTCGATAAAAAGAAGCATCAACATCTGTCGATGAAAAATATAAAATGGGGAATGTCCAACCCATCATCTTTAGCGAGGCTTCTATATCATTTATTGACGGGTCAGACTGACTGACTGACTGACAACAATGTATCATGAAGTTGTCATCAACAACAACAACGATAACAACGATAGAAAAAAAAAACCCAGCAAGAACGACAACAACAAGAAACCTTGAAGTTGTCGTTCTAATTTTTGTTTTTATAGATATATTTGATTTCTAATATGTGTTGTCATCGTGCGATCCTCAATATATAACCTAGCTGGACTGATCGATGTTCTAGCTAACTGCCTATCTTGTTTATAGTACTACCAACACCTGCACCAACTGCAGTTCTCCAAACTGGAGGAAGCCAAGCCAAGAAGAAGAAGAAGCTGTCTAAGGTTTCAAGATTCAAGATTTATTCATTCCATTCAATAAAAAACATATATGTATATAAAAAATGATACAAAGGTAAAAAAAAAAAAATACAAGTTATACAAACATCAGAAGGTCACTGTTCAGTACATTTAAAGGTCAAGAAATCGAATGGAATTTGGGTCACTGCAAAAGTTCAAATAAATTTTAACTTTTCGAGACTGTGCCTAAGGTGTGAATTAAAATATTTTTGCAATGGATAACTATGCACATAAATAATTTACTGGACAAAGCAACATGGAGGAAATGCAAATTAGTATGAAACTTACCGAAAGTGATCTGTTGAACCCCGTTGAAAGTTGTCCTGGAGTGTGTGATTGAGTTCGATGTCGATTGACCTGTTTTCATCGACGTCATGTAGTGCGATGTAGATGTGAGAATCCGTACCAGATCCCTTGCGATCACCAGTATCGACTGTGACGTCAAAGTAATGAAAACGGTGTTTCTGGGAACTCAACAGTACCCCCATTTCGGACTGTTTTACCCCTCAAGTTCAAGCAATTCTTTCTTCTTACTACTTCTCTTTCTGCCTCTCGATCCCCTCTCCCAAAGTTGATATGTTACTTTCTCTCTTCCCCCTCTCTCTCTCTCTATCTTCTTGAACCTTGAACCTGTGATGAGACAATCCCTGAAGCAGCTTTTCCACGCTAAATTGGGTTAGGATGGATTTTGACAGTAGGTGATGGTACTGACAACAGCAAAACGGTATTTTAAGAATTATATTTACAATGAAATAGTGATGTGCGAGTAAAAACCATGCTTCGATCTATACAGTTTACGGCTTTCTGAAACCTACAGGAGGTTCCAATCCTCTGATAACAGGGCGGCCTCCTGGAAAGCAGCAATGGCAGTAACTGCAGTGGCTGGTAGCTGATTCAAGAAGGGTTTTTTCAATATCTTCTCTCTCTTAGATTGTCATTCAGCATCTTCTAGACGAACAGAATTCAAAACATTTCATTTTAAACTCATGGTTTGATTTCTACACGCATTCCTTCTTGTAATTTTCACACGGTCCTTTCCTGAGGCAGAAATGCTGATGAAATTGGACCGATTGAGGCTGAAACAGATCACAATGAATAATGAATCCACATTAAAAAATTAACGGGAGTCCCAAAACTTGAGAAAACTATGTGATTGTCCTTCAAAGCAGATGACGAAAAAAATGTGAAATGCAATCCACCATATTGTTGCACGTAAATCTGAAAAGTCGCCGTCCAGAAATATTGATCGTGTAAAGATTAAAAACAAATCCAAATAAATGGATCCGTTCTCGAGTTTTACTCTCCTAATTTCCCTCTTTGGGTAGCATCGCCTTCACTGACTCCATAATTGAACTCTCAAGCGAGAAAATTACAGAGTAGTTTAGCACGACGAATTCATGACTCCTGGATTCTTTCACTGGACATCAACAAAGCTCAAAAAGCTTACTTAGTAGTAAAGGCATAAATCTAAAGACTGTATAAAGCAAGGAAAGCAAGTTGCTCCTTAGTCTTTGTAAGCAGATTACCTCTCAGCACGGATGAGTGGAGAAATCGTTATGGTAGCCAATTCAACCACGAAACAAACAACTATCACGACAATGGTAAGGAGATTTATAATCCGAGATCTATTGGATTTATAAAGCAGGGTCCCGGAATTAAAAGTACCAATTAACGATTAAGGTCCTTATTATGTAATGTCCGTTCAACAGGATCACAGTTTCGAACATTAGTTTTGATAATAAGACTTTCATTGATTCGTGTATATAGAATCTTATAGAATCTTGTAGTTCATAATAAGCTGAATGTGGGGCTTCTTTATTTAAAACGTATTTGTCTGCATCTCTTCTCTCATGATATTTGATATCAAAATACTTTTTTTTTTTCATTTTACTTTACTCTTTGTCCATAAAATGCACCTATCGCGATCGACTGCTATCAGTCCATTACCTTGATGTTTACCTTGTGCTCCTGTTTAGTTATATGTCTTGCGGCCCATGGGATCGCTGATCTCCGAAAAAGCGGAGGAAGAACAAGAAGAAGAAGAAGAAGATGGTTATAATTGCGTATATACTGTGAGAAACTTATTACACAAATATCTTTCCACACGTTAATGATGTACTATTTCATAATATTATTGAATGTGGACGCATAACCACTTACTCTGGTTCTTCATTCTTTTATTCAACCGACCCCCCCCCCCATCTCTCTCTCTCTCTCTCTCATTTCCCTCCTCTCGTCTTGATCCTCTATCATTCCCTCTCTCTCTTCCAATCCAGCTGTCTCTCGATCATTCCACACCTTTCATACACACTATCCCCCTACTAACTACCTTTAAGTTAATAATTATGGAGCTTACTTTAATATACCTCACTCTTTCAGTCTCTACCTTGTGCGGTTGTCCTTTATGTTATACTATTTTGAACCTTCACCGATACATTTAAAATGTACAGCTAATTCTGTGGTAGACTCACGTGCGTGTACTATATACTCATGAGTAATCTACATTTGCATAAAGAATGTTTACTTATATTGTCATGATACCTAATACCTATACTCTGTAACTTGGTCTAGAGAAGATCCATTTATCAAAATCGGGGTATGATCGAAGGTGTATCGACGAAAATCGGTTATGATCTCTTCTGTTTTAGTTACGGGAAGTAGTATCAGGGAGTGATCATTGCTAATCTACATTTGCATAAAGAATGTTCACTTATATTGCCATGATACCTAATACCTATACTCTGTAACTTGGTCTACTGAAGAACCATTTATCAAAATCGGGGTATGATCGAAGGTGTTTCGACGAAAATCGATTATGATCTCTTCTGTTTTAGTTACGGGAAGTAGTATCAGGGAATGGTCATTGCACTACCTCACAAACTCATCTATAGCCTTAACGTATGGGTCACCATCTTCAGAAAGGTAACCTGTGATAACAATATCATCCGCATATTTGATGATGCTACACTCTCTTACATCACATAGACAGAGGGAGAAGAGCGCAGGGGAGATGACACAGCCCTGGGGGCGCCCGTGTATTCACAATTCTTGGACAGGATAAGGCGTTACCTATAAGACCACTCTCTGTGGTCTGTCACCTAAAAAAACCTCTGTATCCACAGACTAAACTGGGGTGGGACTTCCATATCAATGAGTTTGTTTATCAGAAGGTGTGGGATAAAAGTGTTGAAAGCACTATAGGTATTAGCCTTGTCTAAATGGGCATAGTAGGTATGTTAATACTGCATCATCAACTCCTCTCTTACACCTGTATGCAAACTGCATGGCGTCGATGTAGGGGATAGTGTATTCAAGAAGGTACTTCATCATGATCTTTTCGAAACATTTCATGACACTACAAGTGAGTGAAATGGGTCGAACATCATTAAGCTCCTTCACTTTCTTCCCTTTTGGAATTGGTCTTATCAAGGATGTTTTCCAAAGAGTCGGGATGTATCCCCTTTCCAGTGAGTGGTTGAAAAGTTCATTAAATACCCCCTGCTAACTGATCCCTACAAAGCAGCTCAAAGCTTCAGTACTTTGTTACAGAAACCGTCAGGCCCCGTGGCTTTATTAGTTTGAGGTGCCCCACAACATCGCCTAACATCATGTTGAGATACAAATTACGTTTTCAGAGTCACTTACAATTTGCCTTAGTCTGAGTGTAACTTCGTCATTTTCAACTGTAAACGTAGATTGAAAACAATTTCTTTTTGTGCTTATCAGTTTACATATGTATTTATTTTAATATGATCAGTGTCATCAATTGTATGGCATACTGCTCCTTGTTTCTGTTGTGCACAGATATCCTGGGTTTGATGACATTTGATGATGTACTTCTTTTGTTTTCATAGTTCATAGTTTTGGTTTTTATTGTAATTGTTGTTGTTTTGACCGAAATACTTTTGAAAAAACATAGTTTCACCATTTATTCTGAATATGGTAATCCATCATGACTTATATTAGCTTATAACTTTTCAAAAATATTATCTGAAAAAAGTATATATTTATAAGTTTGTTGGAAAGTGTGATATACTTGACTTCTCTTGATCAGCCCAATCTTCCATCTAATCGCATATACATATACAGGGGTGCATATAGGTTTTGTTGTTTTGTTTTGTTTATATTGTAATATTGTTGTTTTATTTGTGGTCATACTACCTTAAACCGTACTCATGGTACTGACGTGTAACCCTCTAGAAGATGTCGATCCTGACTTGCATATATATATATAATTCTTCTGAGTCTTCATATTATCTATTTTCAGATTTTAATGCAAATTCACATATGATTCATCTCTAAGTCTTATCTATTTTAATGCCTGAAGACAACCAAAGAATTTTGAACATATTTCTCAATTTATTTAAATGATTAATCGTTCCTTTTCTTTCATAGCAATTTCTTGGATTAACGAAACAACCTTAATCAATTTCAATCTAGATGATTTTAATTTTTTGAATGTTAACGGGATATATAGGCGAGGTGGTGGTGTTGTGCTATTTGTGAAAAATATACTGTATACTATAAGGACAGATATCGTTTATCATCAAAAAAACAACTTGACATGTGAATATATTTGTTTATTGACTTTTTAGATAAAAACCGTTAGAGGTCTACTGTTGGTGACATTTATAGAAAGCCGGGATCAAATCGTGAAATATTCCTTGAATGTTACAACAATTTTATTAACAAAATAAGTAACACATGAATATTTATATAACTGGAGATTTCAATATTTACTTATTTAAAGAGGATGATACTGTTAATGAATTCCTTCGGCCTAACTCTGTACTTGGGATGTTCCCGATTAAAAAAAACCAACTCATATTACACCAAGCAGTGCTACACTTATTGATAATTCATTCACCAATGTCTTTGACTCGGATTTTGACTCAGGTAGTCTATGTTCAGATGTTAGTGACCACTTACTCATTTTCCTTGTCTCTAAAAGCTCTAATACTAATACTTATCAACCTAGCTTAGTTCGCTTTACTCGTAAATACTCAGATAATATAATTGTTTTTCTCGATATGATCTTTTTTATGAAGAGTGGAATAAACTTTATAATAATACAAATGCTAATGACGCATATTCCTTTTTAATAACCGTTTTACTCAATTGTTTGACAAAACTTTTCCTTTGTCAAAAACTAAACAAACCAAAAGAGGCATGAAAAAGTATTAAAAAAAAGTATTTTAAGATGCAGAAAGTTGTTATAAACACCTTTTCCAAAACAATACATTGAATAATGAAAGAAAATACAAACAATATAGAAATAAATTGAATAATCTGTTTAAGCATGCAAACAAAAATCGCATTTTTCTAACAGATTAAAGTCATATAAAGATAATACTAAACATACTTTGTCAGTTATAAACTCATTTAAATTTTACTAAATAAGCCTAAAAAGTCTTTATCTGAGTACTTCTTTAATGGAAAAAAAAGATGTTTGTGATCCACAGCATTTAGCAACTGAATTTAATCAACATTTTATAAACTGTTGTAGACGGATAACCAGATCAATGGTCAGTTATCCAACAATTCTTTAATCCTATAACAGAAAATTAAGGCATAAAGATTAGTAATTCACTACACAACAGTAGTTCTGTAGGATTTTATAATCTAAGTACTAACTTAATGAAAAAAATATGTATATTGTACAGCCAGTAGTATTTATTTTTAATCTCTCTCTTTCTACAGGCTTAGTCCCAGATAAATGAAAAATAGCTAAAATAACCCCTGTATTAAAAAAGATGACCCTCATAAGTTTGATAATTATAGGTCCATATCTATTATGCCGTCTATACCAAAGTTGTTAAGAAAATGTATCTATAACCGACTATATTTATTTTGTTTAAACAACAAAATTCTCAGGGTCTCACAATATATGGCTTTAGGAAAAATCACTCCACTACACATGCTATGATAAAATTACAGGATAAAGTTTCGTCAGCAATTCATACCAATACTTTTTCCATTGGAATTTTCATGGACCTTTCTAAAGCTTTTGATCATAGAATACTATTAGGGGCATACCACTATCTTGGTTCGAAAGTTATCTTTCAAACAGATCTCAATATGTAGTTTATAATAACAATTCATCAAATTCTTCCTCTATTACACAAGGCGTACCACAAGGTTCTTTCCTAGGTCCTCTACTGTTTTTAATTTACATTAATGCTCTTACACATTCTTCTGACAAATCTAATTACATTAATATACGCTGACGATACCACTTTAATTTACACCCAACCTAACACTCACAACTTACAAAATAATATTAATACTGAATTAGACAAAGTAACAAAATGGTTCAAATAAAAAAAATTGTTGATAAATCCTAGTAAAACAAATTACATTACTTTCTTTCATAGGCAGTCAAATTCCATCGATTTGCTTATTGACATTTTGTCAACAACAATAGATGAGGTTCCATTAAATAAGGTTAAAAGTGTTAAAT